TTCTCAAAGGAAAAAAAAAATCCATGCAAAAATAACCCCCACCCGCTTCCCACTTTCTCTCCTACCCAAAGTGTAAGGCCGTATAGAATGACCACGTTAGTGATGGCCCTTTTCTTCCAGTATTCTCCCTCATGTCTACATTAGGAGCTGTCGTCTAAACGCAGTAACTAAAACAAGACGAAAAGAAAATTCAATTGCACAATCCTAGTCTGCAGGTGACACAGTCATAACATCTCTTTACAGAAGTCCCTACTCTTTTTCCAGTTATGAGAATTCGTTATCGCGTTCTGTTTGTTCCCCAACTCTCGCCTACGTGGCTGGTGTCAGTTATTGTCCATGCGCCTTTGTTAACAGAAGTCAGTCTATCTACTATTGCTTCCGTCTCCCTTCTTCACCTATATGTAGTTTAGATTCTACGTAGCACTGCCTGCAAAGGGCCAACTCCGTGGTATTTTCCCCCCATTTTAGACAAAGCCCATAGCTCAAGTGATGATCTCCTCACTGCAGCTATGCATCGGTGTCGCCCGTGAGATGTCTTTTATAAACTATGAGGCATGTCTTTGCTAGATCATTCCATTTATCTTAGTCCACTCGTAGATGTCCTGTTCACATACTATGTCTGAGTTGATGAGGAGGTATCTGTCCCCGACACAGAAATGTTTCTGGCAGGCAGCACATTTGAAGCATTCAAGGTGATACACTTTGTCCTTCACCCGCATGGTCATCTCGTAAGCCCGGATTCGCTTGTCACAGGAGGCGCAGAGGCCGTCTTGGCCAAAGAGCCTAAAACAACAACAGCAGAGAAGTAAGCAGAGTTCCTTTGCTGGGGAGATGGGAAAAACCAAATCAAAACAAGAACACAACATCAGTGCCTTGATCCATTAGTCATATGTTGCCCAGTTAGATAGAGGTCACATGGAAAGCTCCCGAGCAGAACTCCAAACTTTGCAATACCAAAAATTGAAGTAGAAAGTCCAAGGTCCTCATCTATTTTCAATATAATTGACTTCTCTGATCAATAGCCTTACCCTGAATTGCTGAGCAGCTTCAGGAGGAGTGAAGGTTCCCCAGATCACAGCACAAAGTTGTGCCACGCTAATACTTCCACTTCTGTGATCGACAGAAATCACCTTTCCGTCGATAAATTTTGCCTATCTTCAGCTGTTGCTATTGTCGTTTACAGAAAGGACTTGACACAAGCTGTGGCCTAAGACTCCCCTGTCTCTTGTCATTGCCTCCACACTGGAGATTCTTTCAAACCCAAACATTTCTATATCCATGAAGTCACTCCTGCTGGGTTTCAGATGGATACATGCTAAGACCTTCCAGATACTTATGCTAGCCCAAACAATTTTATGATCTGGACCACTCTTTAATCCGCATTGAAAAACCCGGCTGAGATCATGATGGTATTGTCTGTTAAAAGGAGCCTCTAATGAATGCACTAGATATGCATTCCCCTCACAGCATGGACTGCCATTCACCAGGAGCAGCGCGACATACTCAGCTATGTGTGAATGCCAGCCTTTCATGCAGCCTGCTGGCTACAGAGTTTGTAAGTCAAATCATTAATAAATAAGCAGAAATAGATACATTCTTTTTCTCACTTGTTCGAAGTATACACCTATTGAGTTTGACTTCTAAGTTTCCATACTAATTCTGGAAAGAGTTTTTCCACCTCCTACACTTCTCTTACATATGCTGTGCCTGCTTCATATCATCTTCTGAACTGGAAAAAGAATGCCCGCTAAATTAAGAGAGATCTTTAAGGGGAAAAGACATCATTTCTTTCATCTACCAGGAGATGTCAGTGTTTACTTCTGCCCAACGAAAGTAATACTAAGGTTACACAAAGGTTGCCAAATTTTTCATTAATGAGGGAAGATATTATGTGTTGCATTATTAAATAAATAAAAACGTTGAGTTTCACTGCAAGAAAATACATTAATTGTATTGCCATACTTTCTGTTGCTTCCATTTTAAGATGATAAGTATTTGAAAGTGTAACGAACACTGGATCATCACTGCTGGACTGTTGCGTATGTGGAATATTTACAAGTGGCCCCATTAGCAGAACTCAGTTCTTGGTTTCTGCTTAGCAAAATTCCCATCGGTAAAGCTCAGGAACGTCATAATTAGGAACTCCACTGAGTTTTTGCTTTAGTTTTTGATGGCAGGTAGGTTAGCCTTCAGTAAGGTAGCTGAAAAAATATCAAACACCATTACTCTGTTCCACAGACCTCCTGTGACGTTAGGGATCCCTTAGAAGAAATGGTACACAACCAGCACAACAAAGATCAATACACTTTAATTGTAATCAAGAATGTAAAGATACTTTATTATAAATTTTTGTGAAATATCTTAATCTCAGTTTAATCCTTCTACTTAGAAATTTTGGCAAATAGATAGGCAGAGAGATGTTAATGAAAATCTCTGTAACGAGTGTATTTGTAGGATCTGATTCAGCGAAATGGGTAACTTCTTGTCTACTCCGCTAAAAATCCACTGGATCCAAATTAGTGCAATCAAACTTTCCTGTACTGGCTGTAGCTCTGCAATAAGCACACGGCACATTGCATCCTTCTGCTTGAAGTGTCCCAGAGAACTTTACCAGCGATGCAGAAAAAGACAGGGATCAATCCGTGTATAAAAGGCAGTGACTTCAGACACCAAGCAGGTACAGCAGCCCTGCTGGCTGGTGGAATCAAGCATCTCCTACAGACCTGATATTACTGCATCGGGAAAATGAATTGAATTCAGTTACCTTGGATACCGTGTTCTTAAACGGGAGAACTAAATGATCTTTCATCGGCCGCCGATCTTGGCACCTGGTTTTATAGACCTTTCAGCTCCAAGGCAATGCTTGGAGAAGCACAGAACTTCTTAAAACCGTTCAGGGGAACCGGTTCATTGTCAGCTCAGGGGGGAGCTTGCTGAAATTCATCACTTTTCCCCGATTTCTACTTGCCAGAATCCCACGCTGACACTGCGCGGTTCGCCTGGAGCCATCAGGTTATGTCTGTGCAGGCTGACGGATGCCAACAACCCCAAAGTCCCAGGAGTTCTTACTATATTCTTCACATTTTCAAATAATTCTCTTTAGTCCACAACACGTAGCAATTTTCGTTAAAAAATGCGCTTTTTTCCCCAACAAGATTTTTAAGATTTAGCCTATAAACAACTGTAAGTGACCTAATCAACACAGATAACCTCTGGATTTACCTGTAACTTACTGAAGAAGCCCAGCAGTACCGTAAAGCGTCTGTGCATGAACCCCCAAAATATGTGAGGCCATATTGTAAACCTGAGCTTGCAAACGGTGCTGCGTTACAACTGTGACTGCTGTCAGGCTTTACGATTAAGAGTAATCAAAAATGAATGCTTTATGGAGCTTTGCTCACTAGCTATGCTAATTAAATGAATAAGCAAAGCTGAAATGGCAGAGAGAAGGGGAGCGAGGGTAGAACGAGTGGGTTGTGTACCTGAGATAGTCCCTTCTGCAGAGCTTTCTGCCCAGTTTGTAATACAACCGTCTCCCCACTTCTCCGAGCCTGCACCCGCACAGGTCGCAGCTGAGGCAGTCTTCGTGCCAGTACTGATCGATGGCTTTCAGGAAATAGCGGTCCCCGATGTTCTGCTGGCAACCGCCGCATGTCAGCAGCGAAGGGGGAATCTGGAGGACTTCATCCACTGGCTCCCTGAGGGAACGAAAGAATCATTGGAGAAGGAAAATCTACTCTGAAAGCATCCACATGAGAGGAAGGAGAAGGAAAAACAAAACACAAGATTGGTCAAGTCAGAACAGGGATTACATCCTCATTTTTTCTCCCAGCGGAATAAATGATTTATCCGCTTTCGACATCAGAGGGAGCAGGACTTCACTCTTCTTTTGCTTTAAAAAGAAAAGAACAGCTTAAAATTTAAAGAGTTAATAAGAGTATGCAAAAATTTGCTAACTATTTTTTTTAATTTTTCTTCAGAGAACAATGCATAAACATGACAATCTCTGTACCACCCGCGTGTATTCATGACTGTAAAGGCATCGACTACTTTACTAGGACATTGGTGTCTGTGTAGATACATCATTTTTCTTCTACTGGACAGAAAATGAATTGCTCAGTCATCTGTCTCAATCCATGCAGTTCTCATAAAAGAAATACCTTTCCCATAATATGATTCTTCCATAATAAAAGATGGCACTTTTTCAGAAGTACAATCGAAAAGCTGCCTGGATTCACCATTCCATAGAAAAGCTGGTTATGTCTGTGCAGGCTGACGGATGCCAACAACCCCAAAGTCCCAGGAGTTCTTACTATATTCTTCACATTTTCAAATAATTCTCTTTAGTCCACAACACGTAGCAATGCTTTCATCTTCATTAAAAAATACGCTTTTTTTTTCCAACAAGATTTTTAAGATTTAACCTATAATAAACCACTGTAAGTGACCTAATCAACACAGATAACCTCTGGATTTGCCTGTAACTCACTGAAGAAGCCCAGCAGTACCGTAAAGCGTCTGTGCATGAACCCCAAAATGTATGAGCCCGTATTGTAAACCTGAGCTTGCAGGCTTTGACCGTTAGTGCCGCTGGAAGCAGAGGGGATTTCTGTCTCACCGAGGACTGAAGGACTAGAAAAGGCACCTGAGGGATTTTACATGCAGTCAACTTTCCATTGGGAATTTGAAGACTTAAGTCTGGGGATGCCATTTCTCTGAACAGCATGAAATGAATAAATACAACAGATGAGACTGTTGCCCAACGGGTTTAAGTTTTGCTGCTGTTTTTAACAGAGCCAGAATTTTACCTGATGTCACTGCAGGACTTCTTTTTTTCCTTCAGCTAAGGACATGAATCCCCTGGGATGGGTCTATGCCAACATAGCTCAAACAATTATCTGGGATTTACACATCCCTGCGTGAAAAGAGGCACAAATCTTTATTGTGATATTAGCACTGACTATTCATGCACGGTATTTTTTTCCCTTTTTAAAAAGCTCTGAAATCTAGGATGGTTCTGGTAACACCTGGGGATAAAGCAAGAATTTTCTTCAAAGCCACTTTCTTAAGGAATTCTCTTCTTTGCCGTTTTGTGAAATTTTACAAGTTCTGCCAAAAAAACCCCAACCAAACCAACAGCCAAAAAATTAAAAGAGAGGCGCCTGAGCTCAGTTCTGCGGGGTTTGCAGTGAGCTGGTGCTGCCACTGAGGGCCTCATCCAAACCCCAGGGAAGTTAATAAAAAAACTATTGGGTCAATCCTTTAAGCACTTGCTTAATTTTAAACCTGCGGCTAGCGGCAAGGAAGGCGTATGTTTGCACATTTGTGCTGCGCTGGATGATGACCGAGGTGCTCGATATCTGGTAGAGTGGAGTCCCCAGTTGTTTCATACGTTATTGGGTTCTCGCTCTAGCACAGAGTCCCTCAACGCTTTGTTTCTGTCGCTGGTCTGTCCTCCCTTAGGCTGGTGGGGGGCAGAGGAGACCCACACCGATAGAGAAGGATCAGGCTGCTCTCAGTTTCCAGCAGGCAACAGGAAAAAATTATATTAGTACTGCTTATTTACTGGGTCCGCGGTTTTCTGGGCAAAAATTACTTTCTTCAGCAGGGAGAAGCGACCACTGGTCAAGAACTTCTGTGCTGAGAAACTGGTCCTGCCATTTTTATTTAGGCAAGCTGAGCCCTAAGATATTATCTGATTGTATTCTGTTCTGGTTTTCACTCTTCTACGTTTAAATTGCTGTGCCCCAAAAGCTGTCCTACCATCCCTCTCCTACCAGCTCTCTGTCCTGTGAGTTTTCAAGAAAATCATGGGCAACTCTGCACGTGATGAGGCCCTAGTTTTTAAAAGTTTATTCTTTTGGGCCCCATACTCCCTTTCCTAACGTGTGGGCTCCACTCTGACAAGTTCTGAGAGCCTTCCAATAGAAGGAAATGCACATTATTATCATCCTTTATTATCCATTATTTGAAACTTCAGATGTACCCCAAAATATTTCATCTTTCGAGTGTTCAGGAATCACAGGCCAGGTTTCTCTGAAAGCCCTAAACTCCGGAACAGCCTGGCGGATGTTTACGCAGAACAGAATTGCTGGTTTATGCATTAGCTTTTTGATGTCCATAGAATTCTAAGCCAGCGCTTAAGTCACTAGAACACAAGGTAGGTAAATAAATAAAGATTACTAAAACTTTGTAGTTGAAACCTGGACATCATATACCTAGGAGCTTGGATTATCGTTTCTTAAGAAACAGTATAAAATGAGAAAAAATGTAACATATAAAACATCAGATGTGGCACGGAATGAATTGATTTAATCCCCGAAAGAAACAGTTCCCATGTGTTCACTCGGGGCTTCAAGCGGTGGCATTTTTAGTATCTCTCAGGAAACGAGCCACGAATGACTCAAGTTTGCCAAGAGCAATGTTTTAAGCATTATCTGAAAACGGAGATTTTATGATTTTTTTTTTCTTCTCTCTTATCATGATTCCAGACAAGCATAACTGCAGTTATTAGCACGTACAGGGCTGAAATGGCTCTGGGTTTATGCTGAGTTACCATGCCTCTCGCCGGCGGGATGCCTGTGTGTGCAGGAGGGACGGGACAGCTGCAGAGCACAGCCCGAAAGCCTGGATGGGAACGCGAGAGCCGGTCCCTTCCCCGAGTGGGAAACCCAGGGAGGGAAATTCTCATCTTCTACGTAGAATCGTAGAGTGGTTTGGGTTGGAAGGGACCTTAAAGATCATCCTAAGACATCCCGTCAATCGAGTCTTTCTACACGCCCTTTGCAGAACACCCTGCCGCCGCCACCTAAGCAGTTTATACAAGCTCTTGAAAGTTGCATTATGAAAATGTGGAAGTTGGGCACCCGCAGATAACAGCTCTGACCTTTCACTATACTCGGCTACAGCGAGCTGGGCAGACCGAAGATGGGGCTGAGAGGGTCCCTCCAAATGAAAAACACCTTCCGATTTGGAAAGCGTGACGCTCTCCGTCTCCCTGGGCCGTTTCCAGCACCCCTGGGTCGGATGAACGGGCGGCAAATGCCCTGCCCGGGGG